AGGGTTACACCATGACCACACCGTTTGGATGCTTTCTCTCTCTTTCTCTGGCAAGATCATGCGCCCACTAGCATTAAAAAAATGCAGCAAAAGAGAAGAAAGTGGGCTGGCGTGGGTGAAAGAGGTGCGGGTGTGCATGTGGGAGGGGGTTGGAGTTAGTGTTGCTGGCAGAATGAGGAGGGAGGGAGGGAAAAAACAACCTAATGAGTATGCCAAGGCAGTAAATCCCACGTATTCTTTATAAAATGCCCTGATGAGAGTGGTTGTGTGGTTCCTCCTTCAGGAATATAACTTTTACATATTTTAAACAACACTACTGTCTGGTTGCTAGTACTGTTCATACAGATGTAACTTTTGTTTTGACGAATGATGAAATGATTAATGAAGCATTCGTTTTGTCCTTCATTACTAGTCTTTGAAGATTTTAACCATGCTGTTTACTCATATTAAAATACAGCTAAAAAATTCAAACTCCCTTTAGAAGTCCCTCGCGTGACCACGTCTGTCATTGCCTGTGTGTTGGTATTTCCTGTATCTTTGTGTCCAGGCCCAGTTGCTGTTACAAAGCAATTTCCCGACCAGAATTTCTCACTGGGGTGCCGTAGGATGATGCCTTGGGTGGCCTCAGACTCTGTAGGCCGACATGCCAGTTCCTCATCTGCCTTCCTCTTCTGCCCTTTGGCCTCTGCCAGCTGTGCTGCCCAGGACCTCGGACAGAAGCACCTTAAAAAAGCAGCAGCCTCCTGCTATTACACCTTCCAGTCTTTTTTCTTTTTTTAATACATGTGCACACACACACACTTTTAAGAATCATTTTATTTAACTTTATTTACTTTTCTTTTTTGAGTTTTTGCTATAGGGCGTGTATGCTTGCCAGGAAGACAGAGACAGAAAGTGGGAAATTACCCTCCCCCCCGGGGGGGGGAATGGACACACCACAGTCCTTTCTCCTCCATTCTCCTCTCAGGATTTTGGGCATGTACACACATGTGCCTGGCATGAATTTAAGCCACTGGGTCCAGGACTTGAACCACGGTCGACTACATGGGAGTGCAGTGTCATAGCTATTACGCCATCTGCTGGTCCCTATTTATTATTTTAATTTTGGCCAGAGACATGGGGCGGGAGGAGGAGAGAACAAGAAAGCAAGCTGCCAGGTCCAGGACTTGAACTGCAGTTGGCCATGTGGGAACCCAGCATTCTTATCCACCATGCCATCTACTGGCCCCACACTTTCCAATCTTTCAGTTTCTGCCGTGAAATGCAGACAAGAGCAGGAGAGGCAACTGAAGGTACCAGAAACAGTATAGGAAGGGGTGGGTATCAGGGGGAGGGAGGGAGGGGGGTGAGGGAAGTGTTTAATGGAAACAAAAATGAAAATTTTCCATTGATGATAACATACAGGTAATATCTATGACTTGACTAATGTGCACTGTGTTCACACTGGGAAAAATCATTTTGTATGCTGTAAAGATATGCAATGATTATATATGTATGTGTGTATACACATATATGTGTGTGTGTGTGTATATATGTATATATATTTTAAAAAGCCTCCTCCATCCTGTATTCATTCTTGTCATCCAGAGAGTCCTGCCAGCTGTGAGTTCTACCTATAGGATTTCTGTTTTCCCTGTGTTGGTTTCTTTATCTGTTGCCAGTGGCCATCTGACTTGTCCTCTTGCCTCAGGTCTGACCCCTGGGTCCAGAATGCCCTCCCTTTGCACCCAGAGGTGCCCCAGCCTTCCCCTTGCATACAGGCTTCTTAGGGCATGCACCTGGCCCTTCCCAGCAGATCTTCTTTTGAGCTTTGTCTCTTGCCAGTGATTAATTTTGCAGCATAAATATGTCCCCTGTGATATTTAGTCTGAGCATGAAGTCCAGCCGTCGGCGTGGCAGTTAGGGCTGCTGGATCCTCTATGGCTGACTATGCAGTTTGAGTCCTGGACCCAGTGGCTTGAAAAGCATCACAGATGTGCATGTGTGCCCCAGATCTTGAGAGAGGAGTGGAGAGAGGATTTTGGTCTGACCATCCGGCGTGCTTTCTCACTACCTCTCTGTCTCTTTCTAGCAAGTGCACATGCTCCCTAGCCAAAAAATAAAGTACAGGGCATGCATGTACTAAAAAATGAATTCATTGTTAAACTGAAATGTAAAGTGTTTTTTTTTTTTTTTTTTTTTAGGTATATTACATTTTCCATGAGTGAGACAGAGAGATAGCACCATGAGCAGGGTCTTGATGCCATAGTCTACTTCCAGTCCCAGCCACCCCGGATCATGGGTGCATAAGTGCCGTGTATGTTCAGGGAGGTCTCCAGATGCAAACCAAGAACCTTCTATGTGAGCCAGCCTCCCAGAGTGTCATGTTTTCCCGCTGTACCACTGTCAGCCCCTGAAATTCACATTTCACTTCTCCTTATGTATTTTATCTGGTATCCTGCACACGCACTAATTTGGTCAGTAGCACAGTTGGGTAAATACAGTTACATGTCTTATACCTCGACATCCTGTTCTGATGTAAAAAGTTCTCAGTTGCAAAATTTGCTGAAAACAAAATGTTTGGTGTTTCTTCGTGAAGCAGTACCTTAGTAGGGTCGTAGAAACAATGCATTTTGTCTGAGCCACTTATTCGGGAGTGTTTGGAACGACATGGTTGAGATTTAGTTATAGTAATGATTAGAAAGCTTTTTAAAGGGAGGGAATCCTCATTCTGGAGACAGAACTGCAGTTAAATTTAGTCTTTGTTTTGTTTATGGGCGTCTTAATAGCCTTTGTTATTGCTTCTTTAAGATCTTTCTGGAGAAGAAACTAAATTATCTTCATTATGACACTTTAATTTTATTGCCAGCTTTGTTTACCTTTATTTGCAATGTTTTTGTCTTTCTTGGGAATAACAGCTATCACATGACTTTTTCGTTTTAATTGCCAGGCAATGTGTACTTGCCTGAGGGAAAAGGAGAGAGAAAACACCCCCAGTTGGGTGTGCCCATGCCATAATCCTGTTACTTCCATTTCATTAGGCTCTTGAGCTCACACGTGCACACACACACACACCAGGGCTGAGGCCTGACCTGTGGTGAGCCATGAGAGATTCTGGGTCCTTAACCACCAGGTTACATGGCCACCCCAGCCATCGTGTGATTTTGAATCTGTTTTCTGCTCTGAAGAATATTCAACTTTGATGTTGATAAGCATGTTTTTCTTCTCTCTTTTTTTTAAAAGTTTAGTGTAGGACACATATGCTTTCCAAAAGAAGCAGAGAGGAGGAGAGAGAAAGTGAGAAAGCACCCCCCCCAGGAGGAATCACCACACCACAGTTCCTTCTCCTCTACCCTCTTTTCGGGATTTTGGGTGTGCATGTGTCTGGCATGTTTCTCAAGCCACCATGTCCTGGACTCATACCGCAGTCAGCCATGTGGGAATCCAGCGCCTTAACCACCATACCCTGAACTGGCTCCGGTAATTTTTGAAGATTCCAATATTGGATTTCAGGAATCATTTGGGATAAGTAAAAACTAAGTGGTACTTTATGAACACCATTTTTTAAATTTGATGAGTGTGCTTTTCTCAGTTGCAAAATTTGCTGAAAACAAAATGTTTGGTGTTTCTTCGTGAAGCAGTACCTTAGTAGGGTCGTAGAAACAATGCATTTTGTCTGAGCCACTTATTCGGGAGTGTTTGGAACGACATGGTTGAGATTTAGTTATAGTAATGATTAGAAAGCTTTTTAAAGGGAGGGAATCCTCATTCTGGAGACAGAACTGCAGTTAAATTTAGTCTTTGTTTTGTTTATGGGCGTCTTAATAGCCTTTGTTATTGCTTCTTTAAGATCTTTCTGGAGAAGAAACTAAATTATCTTCATTATGACACTTTAATTTTATTGCCAGCTTTGTTTACCTTTATTTGCAATGTTTTTGTCTTTCTTGGGAATAACAGCTATCACATGACTTTTTCGTTTTAATTGCCAGGCAATGTGTACTTGCCTGAGGGAAAAGGAGAGAGAAAACACCCCCAGTTGGGTGTGCCCATGCCATAATCCTGTTACTTCCATTTCATTAGGCTCTTGAGCTCACACGTGCACACACACACACACCAGGGCTGAGGCCTGACCTGTGGTGAGCCATGAGAGATTCTGGGTCCTTAACCACCAGGTTACATGGCCACCCCAGCCATCGTGTGATTTTGAATCTGTTTTCTGCTCTGAAGAATATTCAACTTTGATGTTGATAAGCATGTTTTTCTTCTCTCTTTTTTTTAAAAGTTTAGTGTAGGACACATATGCTTTCCAAAAGAAGCAGAGAGGAGGAGAGAGAAAGTGAGAAAGCACCCCCCCCAGGAGGAATCACCACACCACAGTTCCTTCTCCTCTACCCTCTTTTCGGGATTTTGGGTGTGCATGTGTCTGGCATGTTTCTCAAGCCACCATGTCCTGGACTCAAACCGCAGTCAGCCATGTGGGAATCCAGCGCCTTAACCACCATACCCTGAACTGGCTCCGGTAATTTTTGAAGATTCCAATATTGGATTTCAGGAATCATTTGGGATAAGTAAAAACTAAGTGGTACTTTATGAACACCATTTTTTAAATTTGATGAGTGTGCTTGTCAGAGACAGAAAGAAAGGGAAAGTGAGAAATCACCCACTTGGGATGACCATGTGACAGTTCCTTTTCCTCCATTCTCCTCTTGTGATTTTGTACACGCACATATACACACATGGGTGTAATTTTGAGCCACCAGGTCTGGGACTCGAACCATGGAGTTGGCCATGTGGGATCAAGTGCCGTAACCACCATGCTATGTGCTGACCCTGTATTTTAAGAAAAGATTTAGAGAAAATTAGGAAAAAGACTTTAGAAGATCATCTCCTTCCTCAGTTTGGTTCTCTGTGTGCATGAGATGATTCTGTAGTGGATTTCAACTTGTAGGCTAGTGAACATTGTAAGAACCCCACTTTTCCTCGGTTTTAACTGATGACTTTTCTAAACTCTTTCTCCTCAGATTCCTTTTTTTGAAGATATTTGCAAAGGCATTAAAGCTGGCGACACCTGTGAGACGCTGGTGGGGTATTCTGCGGTGTACAGAGTCTGTTTTGGAATGGCCTGTTTCTTTTTTATCTTCTGCCTACTGACCTTAAAAATCGACAACAGCAAAAGCTGTAGAGCTCATATTCACAATGGGTAAGTCTTCTCTTCCTGGTGATCGCCTTCTCCTTTCCTTAGTATCTCAGGGTCCTTCTACTCGCCAGACCCTCTCACTGTTCTTCCCTCGTTGGAATTGTTGACTAATTTTTGGGAAGGGGACCTTGTACAGGGAGTCAAAAATATACTGTCCAGTCACCCTTCTCTGGCATTTTCTGAGATGGCTATTCCTGGGGTCTGCAGACACAACACTTCAGTTGCTAGCCATTGGTAAAGCAGTTTTGGGAACCAACCAGGTGGAGTGGTGGTTAAAATGACTGAATCCCACATGGCCGACTACATGGTTCGAGTCTCAGATGTGATGGCCTGAAAAACACGCTTGATGCATGTGTGTGTATACCCAAAATCTTGAGAGGAGTATGGAGAAGGGATTGTGTCATGGTCATCCCCCTCTTAGGGGTGCTTTCTTACTTTCTCTCTGTCTCCAGCAAGCACATGCACCTTATGGCAAACTTAAAAAAAAAAACTAAAAAAAAAAAAACTAAAAGTAGTTTGCATGTATTTATTGAATACATCACTAAGGTGGATGTAGATACAAGCTGGCTTACCATTCTTGGGTAGGAAGGAAGAGGACAGAGCTGTGACACCTGGCTCAGAAAGACACAGTTCTTTGCATTTTCCTCCCCTGCCCCCATTTCTTAGCATAATTGATGACCACCTCTGTCCTGTAGGATAAAACCCCCAGTCACTGGGCCTTCCCTGGAGCCACACTCTGTGTGGTTCCTGTGTGCATATGTGTAGGTTCAAATAAATCCGCATGCCTTTTAGTCTGCGTTTGTCAGTGATTTTCAGGGAACCTCAGAGGATGAATTCCTTCGGCCCCTCAGTGGTCGCCACAGAGTGACCTGAGAGCTAGAATTCTACTGGGCACACCTGGTACAGTAATGAGAAATTTACTGGAGACAGAGTCCCCCCGTAGTCTCTACCCTTGTAATGGGTAGAGAACCAAGCTGGTTCCACCCCGGCAAGGAAATCCTGCTGTACACAGTCAGAGGCTGTCCCCATCTTTCTGACTGGGGAAAAGGCATTCTTCGGTCACGTCATTACTTCGTCTCGATTTGGAGAGAGCACGTCCAAAGGTGGTGTTGTGGGGTGACTGCTTACCTTCTGAGAGGCCTTTTGTCCCTCCTGGACTATCACTTAAATACATTTCCTCCTTTTTCCTTCTAGCTTTTGGTTCTTTAAACTGCTGCTGTTGGGAGCCATGTGCTCAGGTGCTTTCTTCATTCCGGACCAGGACACCTTTTTGAACGGTATAAATGGGGTGTTGTGGGTACCTAATTTGTTGTTGTTGTTATTATTAATTTATTTACCTTTAAAATTGACACTTGGGGACCAGTAGGTAGTGTGGTGGTTAAGGCGCTGGACACTCCCACATGGTTGACCACGGTTCGAGTCCTGGACCTGGTGGCTTGCTTTCTCACTTTCCTTCTCTTTCTCTCTGTGTCTCTCTCTGGTCAAATCAAAATAAAATGAATGAATGAATAAAAGTAAATAAATAATTTTTAAAAAATTGACACTTAATCACAGTACATCTTTACAGGGTATAATAAGGTTTTTTTTCCCCAGCATAAATACAGTGCATATTAATCAAGTCAAAAACATTACTATGTACATTGTCATCAGCAAATAATTTTTCATTTTTGTGTCTATTAATCACTTGCCTTTTTCCAGCATGTCTTTTTTTCCCGCAGTTTTTTGTCATAGGACTTGTGCACTTGCCAGAAACAGACAGTGAGAGGGAAAGTGAGAAATCACCCCCACCCTCCACCCCTGAGGGATGGCCAGCCACAGTCCCTTCTCCATTCTCTTCCTGGGATTTTGGACACACACATGCCCAGCATGATTTTTAAGCCGCCCGGTCTGGCATTAGAATTGTGCTCGACCATGTGAGAGTCCAGCAATGTACCACTATGCCACCTGCTAGCCCCACCCAGCATGCTATTTATTTTGTTTTTACCCATTTTGTAAATTGATTCATAGGTGTAATCCAGGATGGCTTTGGTATTTTGAATTACTGATTTTCTTTTAGTCTTAAAAAAAAAAAATCCTGTCTTACCTGCCCACACTCTGTCCTTCCCACTCCTCCCTCTCCTTGTCCCATTTGGGCAAGGTGTGAGAACTTTTTGTTAAAGGTTAAAGAACTAAAATGATTATTTTAAAGTTATTGTCCTAGTGGGAAAATGAGGTACTTAAAATTTGTTTTTAAACCAGTTCGTCACCTCGGCATGACTCCATGAGCCCAGGGAGACCTTCTTTGTTCTGAACTCTGCACAGAAAACCCAACAGCAGGCAGCACAGGGTTTTGTAGCAGCTAGGAACCTGCTGCAGGCCCGGTAGGAAGGCACCCTCTGGGGACCAGCAGTTGGAGTAATGGCTATGTCACTGGACTCCCATGTAGTTGATCGTCGTTTGATTCCCGGACCCAGTGGCTTAAACTCACACGGGCACGTGTGCATCTGTGCCCAAGATCCCAAGAGGAGAATGGAGGAGAAGGGCCATCCCCCCCAGGGGGTGAATTTTTTGCTTTCTCTGTCTTTCTGGCGAGCGCACGCACCCTATAGCAAGAACCTCCTCTCCCTCCAAAAAAAAAAAAAAAAAACCCCCCCCCCCCAAAAAAAAAAAAAAAAAAAAAAAAAAAGGCACCCTCCAGCTTGATTGTGAACATACGTACACGCAGCTGCGGAGTTTTGAATTCCTGCACTTACTCACAGAACCTGCTGAAATTCGTTGTGTGTTGTCGTCATCATAGTGGAAAGGGGTGCACATCTTCATATGAGCTAGGGGGAAAGCCTGAATTTCAAAACACTTTATTTGGGGCCAGCAGGTGGCGTGGTGATTAAGGTGCTGGACTCCTACGTGAATTTGCGGTTCAAGTCCTGGACCTGATGGCTTGTTTTCTCACTTTCTCTCTCTCTCTCTCTCTGTTTTTCTTTGGTGAGTACATGTACTCTGTAGCAAATTAAAGAATAATAATAATAATGATAAATAAATAATTCTTTATTAAAAAAACTCTTCACCCCACATGGATTCTGTGTCCTAATAAACACATTAAAAGCCTTCTCTTTGTGTCAGTTTATATGGAACAGCCGTAATCCCTCAAGTAGTTGCTTACTGGATCCTACTGGTTTCTAAAGGTCATACTGGTTTTTTATATACGCCTTAAGGATATATCCAAGTCTTGCTTTTACCAAAAATACTCTTTAACTTTTTTTTCCATTCTTTTTTTATTCCCCACAGAGATACTTTTATTTATTAGAATAGTTTATTTAGAATGGAAAGAGACCTTGAAGTTCCCTGGTCCAGCTCAATCATTTTATACACAACTGTAACCCATGTGATAAGGCTCATCCACGGTTACACTGTATCTGCAGCAGAGCCAGAAGCAGACCTGAGTCCACTTCTCCCAATCAACCTCATTTCCTCACTAGACATTGTGACTTCTTACCCAATAATACTTGAACTCTTGATTTTTCTGGGGGTGCTTTTTGTTTTTAAGTTATGGACCACTGTGTGTTTTATGAATTACTGCATCTTTTTTTTTCTTTTTTTTTGAGAGGTTTTTGCTATAGGGCACATGCGCGAGCTAGACATACAGACAGAGACAGAGAGACAGAAAGCGAGAAATCACCCCCTAGGGGATGGCCACACCGCAATCCCTTCTCCTCCATTCTCCTCTCGGGATCTTGGGCACGCTTGCACATGTGCCCGGCGGGAGTTTTTTTTTTTTTTTTTTTTGGAGAGGTTTTCGCTATAGGGCGTGTGTGCTCGCCAGACAGACAGAGAGAGACATAGATATAGAAAGCGAGAAATCTCCCCCCAGGGGGGATGGTCACGCTGCAATCCCTTCTCCTCCATTCTCCTCTCGGGATCTCGGGCACGCACGCACATGCGCCCGGTGTGAGTTTTAAGCCACCGGGTCCGGGACGCGAACCGCGGTCGCCTACGTGGGAATCTAGCGACATAGCCATTACGCTAACTGCTGGTTCCCCGCCTGGCATGAGTTTTAAGCCACTACGTCCGGGACTTGAGCTGCGGTCGACTACATGGGAGTCCAGCAACATAGCCATTACGCAAACTGCTGGTCCCTTCTTTTAAAGAAATTTTAAATTTTATTTATTGTTAGTATTTTTTTTTATTTGCTATAGGGCATGTGCACTTGCCAGAGAGAGACAGAGAGAGAGTGAGAGTGAGAGGGGAGGAGTGAGAAAGCAAGCTGGCAGGTCAAGGACTCAAACCAAGGTCCACCATGTGGAAGTCCAGAGCCTTAGCCACCTGCTGGCCCCTGCCTCTCTTCTGATACCTAGCAGTTGTAGTGTGAAGGTGAAATTCTGATGCTCCAGGTCCAGACTGCCTATGTTCAAATCCCAGCTACGCCTTTGACTGGCCATGACGCATCAGCTTATACAGACTCGCAGTTTTCTCAGCTATCAGTGCATACAGTAGTAGTGCCCACCTTCTATGGGTGTTTGGGAATCGATGTATTACTTGCGAGCTAAGGAGCATTCGGTGCGCATCAGTGGTCCCTGCCTACCGTCTTTTGAGCTGAACATATGGAATGATCATATCACCGCCTTCTGGGCGGTCTTTTTTTTGCAGCCTGGCGTTACGTAGGAGCCGTTGGAGGCTTCATCTTTATAGGCATCCAGCTCATCCTGATCGTGGAGTTTGCACACAAATGGAACAAGAACTGGTATGTGCTTTTGTGGACAGCTTCCAAGTGAACTCACTGACTCAGAGAAGCTGCCCACAGTGTCGCTAAAGGCTCCATTCTGAATTGTAGCCTGTTTGTAACAACAACAACAACAAAAAACGATTTTTGCTGGCAATTTCCTTTCATTGTTGCTTTTTCTTTTAAATTTTGTTATAGGGTGTGTGCACTTGCCAGAGAGAGACAGAGAAAAAGTTAAGTGAGAAAGACCCTTCCCTGCCCCTGGAGGTATGCAGCCACAATCCCTTCTCTTCCATTCTCCTCTTGGGATTTGGGCACACAAGCACATGCTCCAGTGTATTTTTTAAGTTGCCGGGTCTGGGACTTGAGTCTGCAGTCAGCCATGTGGGATCCAGCCACCTTAACCATCACACTGCTAGCTGGCCCCTCACCTGCTTTTTAGATCTCTCCATTACTGTTTCTAATACCTTTCTACCTTTCCTTTCTATACTTACTGTCTTGTTGACTTTCTTCTCCCCTGCGTTCTCTCGTTTGATGTAAGTCAGCCAACGGTGTGAGTTAGCCACCCTCGAGCTTCTTGTACTCTTTGGTCCTGGTGCTGTGGATTTCGTGGTGGCGGAGAATGGAGGCTTCACCTTAAGCTTCTGTTCTTACCAGATTAAAAACAAAACATGTAATTTGAAGCTGGAACTTCATCTCCTGCTAAAAGTATGAGATAGAATAATTTTCTCCATCAAACTCTTAAAAAGTTTTTTCCCAGCTACTAAGAGGGGAAGGATCCCTTCATTAGAGAAATTTGTTATGCTACCTTAGAAAAGATGGTAACCTCCTGCCTTTTAAAAAGATAAACTCTTAAGTGCCTTGAAAATAGAATCCATATCCTTGACAAGTTGGGAAATGCTCACATCCATTTATTTCTCTCTTTCTTTCTTTTAAAAAGTTTATCCTTTTATTTCTGATTTTCAGAAGTAGGGAAGGTGATCCATCCCAGCCTCCAGGGTGATGGGTATGTGCACACGAACTTGGTATGCAGGGAGACCTCAGGATGCGGACTTGAAACCTTCCTCTGTGTCTTCAGCGTCACCGAATGCCGTGTTACCACTGTGCTGCTGTAGCTGGCCAGTGCCCAGTCCTTAATAGCTAGTTTAATTTTTTGCTGAGCCACCTTGAGGAAATGACAAGACGAAAGTCCAGCCCCTGAGTTCGCCAAGTTGATTCTAAGCAAAGCAATGAACTGTTCCCTTACTTTGCTTATAAAATATAAATTACATGCTTGTACCTAATAGGCTTTTATTATGTTGCGGGCATCATTTTATTTGATACTGAACTTTGAGGGGGAAAATGCCATATGAAATTTATTTTTATTTTCAACAAAACAAAATATAGTATCCAATTTTTTCTTTTCTGAGTATGTTCTTCAGTTTAGTAGGTATTTTTATTTTAGGAATTTTTGTTTGTTTGTTTTTAATTATTTTGTCTCACCAGAGAGAGATAGGCAGAGAGAAAGTAAGAAATTAAGCCACTAGGTCTGGGACTTGAACTGTGGTTGGCCATGTGGGAGTCCAGTGCCTTAATCACCATGCCACCTGCTGGTCCCCAGCTTGGTAGGTTTTTAACAGGGTCTTGTTATGTTGCTCAGGGTGGCCTCGATCTCATGATCCTCCTGCCTCAGCACACCCAAGCTGGGGCTACAGGTGTATGCCACCACACCAGCTTTATATAAGTTCCTGTATGTCACCTGCTTTTTGGGACATCCTTGAAGCCTAGTAGTTTATGCTGTGGACCTTACTAGATCTTATTTTGATGCGATATTCCTGAAAGGTATGGCTTGGATGACGATAGTTTTCTGTGACCCTCTTCATTTGTACAGAAGAAATACCTACATCAAGAGGGAAATACATTTTCACTGATTTAATAGAATTTTTCCATGGCAATTTCTAGTATGCTTTAATTCTGAAGTTTTAAAGTTATTTATTTATTTTTTTTTTTGAGAGATTTTTTTTTTTTTTTTTTTTTTTCTTAAGGGGGCGTGCGCCCCCCACCTGCTATAGGGCGCGTGCGCTCGCCAGACAGACAGAGAGATAGAAAACAGGAAATCACCCCCCAGGGGGGATGGCCACGCTGCAATCCCTTCTCCTCCATTCTCCTCTCGGGATCTTGGGCATGCACGCACACGCGCCCGGCGTGAGTTTAAGCCACCGGGTCCGGGACTCGAACCGCGGTCGACTACGTGGGAGTCCAGTGACATAGCCATTACGCTAACTGCTGGTCCCTTAAAGTTATTTTTTTGAGTTTATTTCTCCTGAGAGAAGGACAGGCAGAGAGACAGAGACAGCGACAGGCACCCCCTGCAGGTCTTCCCATCGTGAGGTAGCACCAGCCCTAGCCAGCTAGGCGCAGAGACACTGGTGGGCACACATCTGGACGTCCTGAGTGGCTTCTGCACTGTGGAGTGTCGCATTACCACAGCGCCACCATGGCCAGCTTTACATTTTTTTCTTGGACAAAATAAATCCATCATCCTACAAATTTTAAAGGTGCACTTCCAGTAGGGAACTTTGTGGTAAAATATTAGCATCTCTGACACTGAGTGCTTGATCGCCCCTTAAAATAGGCTGTTCCCTTAAGGATACTTCTGCTTCTTCACTCTGGCGTATTGTTTCGATTGATTCTGAAGCCATTTTCCAGACTAATTATTGAGGCCGAGTTTTAACGGGCACTTAGGAAGAGTTTAGCTGCTTTACGGACTTTCTAAAACTACTCAGTGAACATGGCTTAGGAGCTTTACAGCAGATAATGTTGCCATTGTTCAGACTTCAAGGCCACTATCCTAGCAAAAAGCCCTTTTGTCCACAAATTTCTAGTTGATTTGTCTGCCTAAAATCAAGAATAAGCTAGGAAGCTCATGAATATTGTGATTTTCCTTTATATTTAACTAATTTGGTGGGTTTTTTGCTTTTTTTTTTTTCCAACTTAAATGGCTAGTGTAGAAAATATAATACTCATCACTATTGTGATGCCAGAGTGCGTTTTCTTCTTTTCTTTCTTTTTTCTTTCCTCCTTCCCTCCGTTTTCTTTCTGTAAACATCTTGAGAGGACAAAGATCCTGACAGCTGCAGGAGGGAAGGCCACAGGCAGCCAGGACAGGGCAGTCACTCGGCTTCTTGGACCTCGGTTCCCACACCTGTAGAATGATGTAGCCCGACTAGACGTTTAATGTGGGCCTTTTTCTTTTCGCTTAAACTTTGTGATTCGCAGTGTTAATTTTTTAGAAAGTGAAATAAAAAGTAGTTAGTGGGGACCAGTAGGTGGCATAGAGGTTAAGGTGCTGGACTCCCACATGGGTGAAAGGTTCGAGTTCTGAACCTGGAGGCTTGAAACTCACACCGGGCATGCGTGCCTGAAATCTCAAGAGGAGAACGGAGGGGAGAAGGGATTGTGGTGTGGCCATCCCCCCTGGGGAGTATATCTCGCTTTCTGCTCTTAATCTCTCTCTGTTTCTCCTGTGAGTGCATGTACCCTGTGGCAAAAAAAAAAGGGGGGGGGTCTTCCAAAAGTCATGGAAAATGTATAGTTTTCTCATTTTTACACTAGAATAAACTTGTGTGCTAATTCCATTTTTTTTTTAATTTAAAAAATGTTCTTTATTCATTATGCCATATTGTGTGTACATGGTAAAATGAGAGAGGGGAGGAGGGAGGCAGGCAGGCAGGCAGGCACCCTAAAATTGAGAATAAGCTAGGAAGCTCACTAATACTGTGATTTTCCTTTAAATTAAACTAATTTGGTAGTTTTGGTAGTGCCCATAGGATCTGGGCATGCCATAATCCCCCTCCTCCAGTTCAGTCCCCTAACCTGTCGGAGCCCAGGCACTTGCCCGTGTGCCCAGGGCCTGGATTCGAACCGTGGTCACTGTGTGGGATCCAGCTACTCTAGAGCAGCACACTACCGCCGTACCGTGCAGCTGGCCCCTACAGTCTCTTTGGAGTCCCCTCATATTCAGATGTTCCTGATGAAAGCCCATTCCGAAATGTGTGAGCGTTTATGTTTCCTTTGCCGCTGTTGTTGGGTTTTGTTTGGCCTCCAGCCTGAGCCCAGTCAGTACTCCCACCCTGAGGCCTGCTTGCTGCTGTGGCTAGACTGTCCTAGGCCGATCCTGTCCCGCTCTTTATCCACGGGCTTCTCGGTTCGCATCAGTCAGCTTGGCCCTTAGACTATCACTGTGAGCCAGGCGTGGTGATGTGCGCACTGAGAGAACGTGAAGATTAATGAGTCAGGGTGCTTATCTGAATATCTCCAAGGATTAGATGCCATCACAAGGCCAAACGGTGAGGGAGTGGCAGGACCAGGACCACCAGCCACCCTGCCAGCACTAGCACTGCTTCATGGAGTAGTTTGTTTTTAGAAAAGTTATTTATTTATTTTTTTAATTTGTTTATTTCTCGAAAGAGGTAGAGTCATCCCCGCAGGGTCCTCACACCACTATCCAGCACATAGCCTTAGGCAGCCAGGATCACAGGCACATGTGTATGTCCAGTGTACCCAGGATGCAAGCCCAGGACCCTCTTAAGGCGAGCATTGTTACCCTTGCGCCACCCCAGCTGGCCAAGTTACTGAGAGTTGACAATCTTGACACTAGCATTCAGTAAGCACCTATTATGTGCCAGATATCGCCCTACACAGGAGGAGCATAGCAGTGAATGCTGTGTGTCCTGCCCTGTGGAGCTCACATTCTCCTGGGAGAACATCCAATAGGTTCAAAGTGGTTTAAAGAAAAATAAAAGCAGGTGAGAGGGTTAGGGAGAGCCTGAGGCTGGACTGAGCTCGTTTGTTGTGGAAAGGGGCATGGCCACTAGGGCTGTAGCCCAGTTTTGGGGACAGAATGGAGGAACTGGAGTCAGGGAGGTAATTAGGACAATATAAGAAGCTTTGGGTTTTTTATTTTTATTTTTAGTTTTTAATTTTAATTTTTATTTATTTTTTGGAGAGGTTTTCGCTATAGGGCGTGTGTGCTCGCCAGACAGAGAGAGACATAGAGACAGAAAGCGAGAAATCACCCCCCAGGGGGGATGGTCATGCCGCAATCCCTTCTCCTCCATTCTCCTCTTGGGATCTTGGGCACGCATGTACATGCGCCCAGCGTGAGTTTTAAGCCACTGGGTCCGGGACGTGAACCGCGGTTGACTACGTGGGAGTCCAATGACATAGCCATTATGCTAACTGCTGGTTCCTGGGTTTTTTTATTTATTATTATTAATTTCACTAGAGACAGAGGGGAGCAGCGAGGGTAAGAAAGCTAGCCGCTATGTCTGGGACTCAAACTGTGGTCAGCCACGTGGTAGTCCAACACTTCAACTACCATACCATCTACCGACATAATGAACCTTTGATTTTTAAGTGAGTGGAAAGGGCACAGTAGGTCTTTGGGACAGGAGGAGTGTAATCTAATCTATGTTTGAAATAGAAGATTAGCAGAGGCTGGGGGCACAGATAAGGATGCCAGTGGGAGATAATCCAGGTGGGAGGAGTTTGCCTCTAGGTGGTATTAGGGTGGAGAGAGGCTGCAGCAAAGGTTCACTGCAATACTATCATCTTTTTCCATTTTTTAAAAAAATGTTGTTGTCCCTAACAATGGGAAGAGTGGAAGAATGGAATTGCTGTTTTCTGAGGCTGGGAAGACTGCACAAGGGCAGGTTTGGGGAACGGAGAGGTGAATATGGAGAAGTTAGCCCGTACATGTCAAGTTTGAGATGCCGGTTAGACCTCCAAGCAAAGATGCTGAATGAACAGTTGGGTGATGCATGTCTGGAGTTCAGGGTCTCCTGTTAGAGTGGAAGATTTGACTTTGCCACTATAAACATTAACTAATTAGAAGAAAACCCTTCATATACTAATAATATAACCCAAAAGACTAGTGGGAGAAAAAGTGACCCCTCGCCCACGCACCAAGCACTAGCGTTCACCTTTTTGTGTGTGATTCAGCCCGTCTCTGTTCTCTGTTGTTATTTGGCTCTGGCTTGTTTTCCCTTTTTCTCTCATTTCCTGTGTGCCTCTCACGTTAGAATAATTCCGTGGTCATTGGAGTGTCTGGCTCAGATTCAGGAATACATGCTCATTATCGTGCTGACCTTTCCTCCCTATTGTCTTTGTCTCTGGCTGCCCTAACTTTTTCATCATTAAAGGAGTTTAGCTGGGTTGCTTGAACACTTTCCAGTTTTGTGTGAAAACTTAGCAAATTGCTTTCTCTGTGAAGGTTTGGGAGAATGTGGTCACAGAGCAGTTTAATCATCGGCAGATGACAGTGATTCAGTCCATTCACCCTGTGGTTCTGTCCTCTGCCTTTAGCTTCCTAAACACTCCTTCCTTTGTTCTGAACAACGTCTGTGGCCTTAAACCACCACTTGTTTCTCCCATGCCTTATTAATGTGCACAGAATCTAGAAAGTGCATACCCTTTCTTTATTATAACAGCCCATTCAAGTTTTCGCTCTTTTCTTGAGTGAGTAGATTCTCCACTCTTTTGAAATGTCAAGTTCTTTACCATTTCTTGGTATTATTTTGCAGAAGCAGCACCATGACAGATCCTCCTTTTCAATACAGGAAGTGAAGAGCTGAGGTCAGCCAGTTTTTTCTGAGGGAGAAGATGGGTGCCATCGGGGTTGCTAGTAGCACTTGGAATGAGACCGGCACCCCCAAGCTCTGCATTTATGTGGAAAACCTGAAGGAGCCTCAGCAAGAGCCAAACAGTGTTGTGGTGGTTGAGGTGGTTGGATCCCATGCAGCTGACTGCATGGTTTGATTCGGGGACCCGAAAGCTGGGGAAACATGCCAGGAGTGTATATGTGTGTGTCCAAAGTGCCAAGAGGACAAATGGCCTAGAAGGGATTGTGGTATGACCATGCTCTGTGGGAGAGTGCTTTCTTGCTTTCCTTCTCTCTCTCTCTCTCTGACAAGCATTCATGCCCTTTAGCAAATTTAAAAAGAAAAAAGAAGGAGCCTCAGTGAAGAGCCACCTTTTAGTGCTGCCAAAACCTGTGTCAGGGTAGTTCAGTCTGAACAGAAAAACCAAGATAGTCTGTGGGTATTCATTTTAGATGATGAAAACACTTGTGTCAGAAAACAGAATTGAGACCAGCAGATGGTGTAATGGTTATGTCACTGGATTCCCACATGGCCAACTGTAGTTCGAGTACTGGACCTGGCTTCAAACTCAGGCTGGGCGTGTGTGCTTGCATGCCCAAAATCCTAGTAGGAGAATGGAGAAGGGATTGAGGCATGGCCATCTCCCCTGGGGAGTGATTTCTCACTTTCTGTGTCTCTGTCTCTTCTGTGAGTGCATGTGTCCTATAGCAAAAATCTCTCTAAAAAAAAAAAAGAAAGAAAGAAAATGGAATTCTTGGGGCCAACAGGTGGCAGGTGGCATGGTGGATTCCCACATGGCTGACTGTGGTTCAAGTCCTTCTCATGGCAACTTGCTTTCTCACTTTCCCTCCCTCTCTCTGTCTCTGGTGAGCACATGTGTCCTATAGCAACATTTAAAATAATAATAATAATAATTATCAATTCTTTTTTTAGAAAAGAGAAGATAGAATTCTTTCATTGTTTAGAGAAAATTCTAACCTTGCACCAAGACATTTGTATCTACCAGAACCTTCTAGCTTTGATGGAGCATATCATCGGGACAGCTCCATCACAGTGGCCTGGGACTTGGTCGCATCAGTTAGCCCCTGAGGGATGGTACATGGCAGAGTCCTGGGCGTCATTGACTTGTCTTTTCCCCTCTCCCTTCCTTCTCATCCACTTCCTGGAGAAACAGGACTGCAGGCACAGCCACGAACAAGCTGTGGTACGCCTCTCTGGCCCTGGCGACGCTGATCATGTACTCCATCGCCACCGGAGGCTTGATTTTGATGGCGGTGTTCTATACACAGAAAGACCGTTGCATGGAAAACAAAATTCTGCTGGGAGTAAACGGAGGCCTGTGCCTGCTTATTTCAGTGGTAGCCATCTCGCCCTGTGTCCAAAACCGTAAGCACGTTGATTTCCTTTCCTTATTTATACTGATTCTGAGTGTCTGAGAAAACACAATGGTTTTTTGAAATTTAGGTCATTCCTTAACTTCTTGTGGATGGGCCAGTGACAGGAAAGCAGATTTCAGTCTCCCCTTCATAGGCCACACTTGGGCCAGGCATGATAGCCAAGCTTACCTCATGTCACAGAGGAACCGAACTCAAAAAAGTCAGTCAACAGGAAGGTAGATATTGCCATTACTAAATAATGCACTGCAAGGAGGCTTTAAATGGAAAATGCTCTTAGTATATGTCCTTGTCTACTCTGGTGTTGCTAACAAAATTACCCGAGGCTGAGTAATTCGTAAGAATAAAGGTTTAATTCTGCTCCCTCGATAGAGGTCTAGCGTCTAGGAACAAACCTTGGGTTCATATGGCAGAGAGCAGAATCTTGAGCAGAGTGACTGTCCATAAGTTTCTGCCTGCTTTGGTTTCCTTTCTTCTCTTATAAACCTACCAGAACTCGTTCATGGGGGTCCTACCCTAATGAGCTTCTCACCCTTAAAGGCCCCACTCTGGAACATCATGAAGGGATTAAGTTTTCACTTACCGCCTTTACAGTACAACCCAACACATGAACTTTTAGGGGATAAACCTTTATCCAAAGCAGAACAGCATATATGAAGCATGGTGCGTATGCACTTGCCTGCCTGTGATCTCCTTGTAAAACTGGAATGAGAAGGTTCCAGAAGGAGCCACGTTTTGGGGGTGATGGTTCATTCAAGGCTGTGGGCCAGGGAGCACTGACAGCATGACCTGGGAATCAGGAAGCAGGAAGCCTGATCCTGACTCAGCCAGTAGCTGGCCCTGTGAGCTAACCCAGACCCAAAATCTTCCTCAGTGAAGTCGGCAGAAACATGGGAGCCTGACCTTGCTCATGGTTATTCACCACAAAAGGGGAGAGACTAGAATTTGAAGTGCTTTAGAAAGTGTAGGTGTGAGGCCAGCTGGTGGCACGGTGGTTAAGACAGCTGGATTTCAAATGTTCAACCTTGCAGTTTGAGTCCTGGACCTGGCTGCCTGAAAAACATTCTGGGCACATGTTTGTGTGTATGATCAAAATCTCAAAAGGAGGGAGAAATAGAGGAGAAGGGATTGCAGTTACCCTCCTCTATGAGGGGTGCTTTTTCATCTTCTCTTTTTCTCAGGTGGGCACACATGTCTTCTAGCTAAAAAAAAAAAAAAGTATAGGTGTGAGTTGTCATTTATAAACTACTTTTTAGAAAAAAGAATTATTTTATCTAACTGCGTTTGTTTATTTATTTATTTATTTATTTGTTTATTTATTTTAATTTGACCAGAGAGAGACCAGTGAGAGAGACTGGGTGTAGGGGAATGAGAAAGCGAGCTGCCAGGTCTGGGATGTGAACCGCGGTCGTTCATGTGGGACTCCAGTGCCCTTAACCACTATGCCACCTGCCAGCTCCCCATTCATAAACTACTTCTGATATCTAACCAGTATACTATCTTTGGGGGTTATGCAGAGTGATGTCTCTGGTCTGATATTTGGTGACAGGTGTTTTATTCTATAGGTTATTAATGTGATATTTAGGCATCAAAGTAACAAAAAGAAAATATGACTAATAAGTTTATAGCCCCCTTGAGTCCCTTTTAAAATAGTGGTTTTATTAAGGAAACTAGTAGCAAATACTTCTAAAATTTTTCTCTACTAAAATTTCAAGGTCATAATTGAAGTTGAGAGTGTTATTATTTTAATACATTTAATTGATCTGTTTAGAATTTCTTAGAACACAGGGCCAGCAGTTGGCGTAATGGCTAAGTTGCTGGACTCCCATGTAGTTGACCGCAGTTCGAGTACCGGACCCAGTGGCTTAAACTCACACCGGGTGCGTGTGCGTGCGTGCCCAAGATCCCAAGAGGAGAATGGAGGAGAAGGGATTGTGGCGTGGCCATCCCCCCTGGGGGGTGATTTCTCGCTTTCTGTCTCTGTTTCTGTCTTTCTGGCGAGTGCACGTTCCCTATAGCAAAAACCTCTCCCCAAAAACGAATTTCTTAGAACAAGTTACTGATATTCAGATTAAAATCTCCTCTGTGTTAAATCTTACCTTATGGGGACTGGGGGGTGGTGTGATAGTTAAAGGTGCTAGACTCCAACATGGATGACCACGATTCCCACGATTCGAGGCCTTTACTTGGCGGCTTACCTTCTTGCTTTCTCTCTCTCTCTGTCTGTCTCTTTCTGGTCAAATTAAAGCGTAGTAATAATAACAATAACAATAACAAATGGAATTAAGTAAATAAATAATTCTTTTTTAAAAATTTACCTTTTGAAATAGGTATAACATTTTGAAATATTTTAATGCCTTTAATTGCTAAGGTATTAGGTTAGAAAAGTCAGAATGTGTTTTTTTGTGTGTGTATTTTTCTATGCAAAAATGCTTATGACTTTCCTGACAACCCAATAAATCTTATTCTCAAGCCAAAGAGTGACATAAAGTGATCTTTTTGTATACCTTTATTTGTAATTACAATTTCATAATGATAACTCTGAAAACAAATTGAACCATAGGGAAGACTGGGTAAAACTTTCATTTTAGCAGGCAATTGAAAATTTCATTAAAAAAAGGGAGAGGGGAATCCCCTGACACATCTTGGTTATCCTGAAAGACAGGCACCTAGTTTAATTTTGGTATTGTAACTTGAATGCCCTTCTCCCAATGAGTGCTAAGCCCACAACCTTCATCTTTAGCCTGAGCAAGATCTGGTGTTCTGGTGTTCCCAGAAGCTTTTTTTTTTTCCCATTGATAGATACGAGCTTTTTTGCATTGGCATGGACAGTAAGCATTTGATGGCTTCGTGGAATCCAGAATCCACGCCCTGGGATTTCTGGCCTATCATTTACCCCACTCAGCTGTGTCATCTCACAAATAGTAGTGGTAATCTTTGTTCTGATCTTGTGATTTAAGAACTAATGTTACAGACCTCAGGGACAAGGCAGTTAGGCAGAGATGCTAAGATGTTGGCGTCTCTAAAATAACAGTGTTAGACCCAATGTAAAACTTTCCCTTAATGTCTTTTTAGTTTTGTCTGAGAAATACATTATGTACCTTTTTTTTTTTTTTTTAAGCCTGTCTCCAATCTGTCTCTTGTCATTTTCCAGGACAGCCGCACTCCGGGCTCCTGCAATCAGGGCTCATAAGCTGCTACGTCACGTACCTCACTTTCTCAGCCCTGTCCAGCAAGCCTGTGGAAGTAGGTAAGCCAGCCTTGTTAGGGTACGTGTTCATGGTAGGAATGTTTTTATTTGTGGAGTAGTGAGGTATTGTTAAATCATTCAGCTAAATCAAGGATCATCTAGCCTTTTTTAAAAAACATAAATAAAATCTTCAAGCTGGGCTATAAAAACGAAATTTTTTTTTTTTTTTTGGATTTACCTGCTATGTACGGGAAAGAACAAAGATGTGCTCTTTAGTTTGCTTTTAGGCCTACTCTGCATTTTCCTGCTCTATTTTCAAGGAAAAAATTTTGTTATTGTTGCTTCCTTTTAGTTATTATTTTCCTTTCCTTTCGATAGACATTTCTCTGACTGTAACAGGAAGAATGAGAAGCAGGATACACATTCTGAGCCCAGATCCACCATTTGCTGAA